AGCAATCTACAGATTTGGCACAATTTCTATAAAAATAGCAATGGTATATCTCACAGAACTAGAACAAATAACCAAAAATGTAGATGGAACCACAGGGACCTGAAAGGCACAGCAATTTTGAGAAAGAAGAACAAAGTTGGAGGAATCATGCTACCTGATATCAAACTATACTCCAAGACCATAGTAGTCAAAACAGCATGGACTGGGCATAAAAACAGACTTAAAATCAATGGAACAGAATAGAGAGCTCAGAAATAAATCCACATCTGTATGGTCAACTAATATTTGACAAAAGGGGCAAGAATATACAATGGGGTATGTTTAATAAAACACCATTTATTTAATAGATAGTGTTGAGAAAACTGGGCAGATAGATGCAAAAAATAAAACTAGACCACCATATACAAGAATAAACTCAAAATAAAGACTTAAATGTAAGACTCGATATCATAAAAATCCTAGAAGAAAACGTAGGCAGTAAAATCTCGAACATTTCTCTTGGTAGCATTTTTACTGGTATCTCTTCTTGGGCAACAAAAGAAAAAATTGGGATGACATCAACCTAAAAAGGTTTTGCATCGCAAAGGAAACCATCAACAAAATGAAAAAGAAAGAACTCATTGAATGGGAAAACACATTCACCAATAATACATCTAATAAGAAGTCAATATCCAAAATTTATAAAGACTTTAACACACACACACACACACACACACACACACACACACACACACAAAACAATTCGATTAATAAATGGTCAAAGGCCCTGGCCCGTGTGGCTCAGCTGGCTGAGTGTAATGCCATGCACTGAGAGGCCAATGGTTCAATTCCTGGTCAAAGGTACATGCCTGAGTTCCGGGCTAGATCCCAAGTAGATGGTGTGTAGGAGACGGCCAATGAATGTTGTGCTCTCATATCAATGTTTCTCTCTCCCTCTCCCTTTCTTTCTTTCTAAAATCAATAAAAATAAAATAAAACAAAACAAAGTAAAAATTTTAAAAATAAATAAAATAATAAAAATTAAATTAAAATTTAAAAATAAATAAAATAACTCAGAATTTTTTTTTAAAAATGGGCAAAGGAGTTAAATAGACACTCCTCCAAAGAGAACATACAGATGGCCAATACAAATATAAAAAGATGCTCAATATCACTAATCATCAGGGAAATGCAAATTAAAACCACAATGAGATATCACCTCACACCTGTCAGAATCACTATCATCAATAAGTCAACGAACAACGGATGTTGTATAGGATGTAGAGAAAAGAGAACCCTGGTGCACTGTTGGTATGAATGCAGATTGGTTTAGCCACTGTGGAAAGCAAGCAGTATGGAGTTTCCTCAAAAAAATGAAAAATGGAACTGCCTTTTGACCCAGAGATTCCACTTCTAAAAATACATCCAAAGAAACCTGAAACTCTAACTTGAAAGAATATACTCCTATGATCATTGCAGCATTATTTATAATAGCCAAGCTATGGAAACAACTCAGTGTCCATCAGTAGATAAGTGGATTAAACAGTGGTGGTACATATACAATGGAATATTACTCAACCAAAATAATAAATGAAATTTTACCATTTGAGGCAGCATGGATGAATCCAGACACATTATGCTAAATGAAATAAGTCACTCAGAGAGAGACAAATACCATATGATTTCACCTATCTGTGAAATCTAAAGAACAATATAAATGAACAAACAAAACAGAAACAGACTCACAAATACAGAGAACAGACTGATAGTTGCCAGACAGGATGGGGTCCGGGGGACGGGTAAAAAAGGTGAAGGAATTGAGAATATGGTTTGGTAGATACAAATTAGTCATGGGGATGTAAAGTACACCGTAGGAAATACAGTCAATAATACTATAATAAATATGTATGGTGCCAGCTGAATACTGGAAATATCAGAGAGAACACTTTTTAAAGTATATGATTGTCTAACAAATATGCTGTTTACCTAAAACCAATATAAAATAATACTGAATGTAAACTGTAATGGAAAAAAATTTAAATATAAAAATAAAAATGGAAAAAAAGAATACATGACTGAGAATGAATTTATAAAAAAATAGATATGAAAAATTACACTTAAACAGTAGAATGAAATAACACACATTAACAATCAATGATAACATGTAAATTCTTTTCCTAAAATATGTTTAAAATATCATTTCTCTCTTGATTTTACAATAAACAAAATTGGAAGAAAATCAACAATACCAGAAAACTTCTCCTCTGAGGCTAAATAAAAGCCCGAAAGATTCTATTTTCCTATTCCTATGTAGAAAATTAAATTCTTTTCAGAACCAGCAGGACCACACCATCTAAGACGGAAGGTGAAAATAACACAGTTCCAACACCTGAAACTTGTTTTGGACAGATATAGAACGATGCCCAGTTGGTTCAAGGGGATAAATAACCACAAAAAAAAGGTATGGTGAAGGAGTTAATACATTACAAAGCACTTCTAGAAACCAAGATAATGTAAACTATACTTGATTAGAAGTTTAAATATCAGAAGTTATAAAGGCAAGAAGTGTCAGAAAAAAATCCACCATGGCCCAGAGTATTCTGTTAGCCCCATGAATAAATTTTTTTCCAGTCTCTTAGTGAAGGGGAATGGGTGTTAAAATCAGAACCCATCAAACTGTATCAGAAGCCATGAAATGTGTAGCATCCTTATTACAGAAATTATGGCCTCTTGACATTAATCCTTCCTCATAAGACTACATTCTTGTCTTTAAAAGACTTTGTGATTAAACTATAAAAAATTCTGTTGAAAATAAAACAAAAAGAAATCCAATGTATTCAATGTTCCAAAGTGAAAGTGTACACGTCCTAAGTCTGATCCATTTGCTTTATTTTATAACTAACTGCTTAAATGGCTTAAGCAGCTTCTGGCTTTGCTAAACAATCTGGAAACAGTAAGAACTTTTCCCCAAAGAATGAGCTGTCAAATTATTCCTCTAATAATGTATTGTTTCCTGATGCTAGTGTTGAAATGCCATGGCTCTGGGACAGATAAGTGTTTGAAAATGTATGCTCAAGGCTTTTAAATAGCATGAGATACTGGTTTTAGAACCAGCTCTTAAGTGGAAAGACAGGGCCAGCGGGAAAAGGGGGATATAGTACTGGAGGTGCCAGTAACAATTCTGGGCCTCCTTTCTGATACTGGCATATTAATGTTGGCAAAAGGGTTCCCAACATTTGTCCAATAGTAATTAGGCTGGATTTTTTCCCAAAAGAAAACAACCTCCATTTCAGAATAAATTAAGAATTCCAGCCCTGACTGGCGTGGCTCTGTGGTCGGGGTGAGAGGGTCACGGGTTCGATTTCTGATCAAGGGCACGTACCTGGGTTGCAAGTTTGATCCCCAGCTCCAGGCAGGGTGCATGCAAGAGGCAACCAGTCAATGTGTCTCTATCACTTCAATGTCTCTCTCCACCCCCCCGCCTTCCACGCTCTAGAAATCAATGAAAAAAATATCCTCGGGTGAGGATTAACCAAAAAAAGAATTCCACATGTTGGAATAAAATAAAAATAAATAAAGTAGAAAAAATAATCTAAAAGTGTGTTGCCAAATTTTCTAACTGTGAAAGGGACTTTCTAAATTTTACCTCAAAGCCAATAAAAAAGTTATTCTTTAAGTTGATGTGTTTACTTGGGAGTTAGCATCTTAGTCTAAAACTGCACTGTCCACCCTGGCCAGTTTGGCTCAGCGGTTAGAGCGTCGGCCTGCAGTCCACAGAGACCCGGATTCGGTTCCCACTAAGGGCACGTACCTTGGCTGCAGTTTGTCCCCGGCCCTGGTTGGGTCGTGCGGGTGGCGGCCACTCGATGTGTCCCTTTCACATTGATGTTTCTCTCTCTCTCTTCCTCTCTCTCCCTCCCACTCTATCTGAATAAAAAGTGGAAAAATGTCCTTGGGTGAGGATTTAAAAAATAAAACTGCACTGTCCAATAGGCAGCTACTGGTCACACATGGCTACTGGGCACTATTTCCAATTGATATGTATTGTATGTGTAAAACACACTCTGGATTTCAAAAACTTAGTCTTCATATTTTTACATCAAAATTGAAATTGTAACACTTCATATATACCAGATTAAATTAAAACATTATTAAAATTCATTTCACTTGTTTCTTTTTACATTTATTAACGTGACTACCAGAAAACTCAGCAGTACATATAGGTTCATATTTGCGACTCTCATGTTTCTATTGGACAGCACTGATATATAAAATGACTTTACTGGATTCAATTCCCCTGAATTCCCTCTAGCTCTCTCAAGTTCTAACACTAAGAAATGGCATGTTCAGCTGACAAGTTTTAATTTCAAAGTTATTTTAGAGAAAACTGTGTTTAGTCACTATTTCATTATTTCTCCACACTTTTCACCCACACCCCCCAGTGCTTTCTCAATCTGTTTCTACGGATTCCTAATAGCCAAGAAAAATGACTCTGTCCATTTATTTATAAACTGCAAATATACAGTTCACAGGGCCATTCTCAACTGCCATTTGGTCATAGTCCTTTTTGCTTCGCACCATACTGATGCATTTCTAATGCTCTGCATGAATAACGAACTCTGGGTTTTTTTCCAGTTTTAATATTCATAAAACAGGAGGTTTGGAATTAGAGATTATTGGAGATTTTATATCCCAGTGGTCCCCAAACATGCTGGTACCTCTGAATCACCTGGGGAACATATGGAAAATATTCATTTGTAGGCTATTTGAGAGTTAGAGAGTCTGACTCAGTATGTCTGGGATGAGGCAGGATGAGATAAGATCCTGTACTTCTAAACTGCCCAGGTCACTCAGAAGCTCAGCGAGGTTCGGGAACCAGTGGTCTAGCCTAACTTACTTCATCTGTAACAAGGGCAAAATGAACTGTCCTAGTGCCCAGACCTGCAACCAGGATACAGGGCTGCTCACTACAGCTCTGTGCCATTCTGAGAGCCCTCCTGTCGAACACAAACACGACTTACTCCTCAGTAGCTCCAGCTATCAGTATATCTTCCTTGTCAGTTTTAACATCCAACTCTGGTTCTCCGTTAAGCAGAAGCTTCAAGTTATAAATAACCAGCAAAGTACCTAGTGGAAAATAGACGTTTGACTTGTCAATATTTTAACTACACTAAATATTAGTCACAGTGATGTTATCTCATTTTTTATGTAAGCCTGCTCTAGGCCAAATTTCCCTTTGTACTTCAGTAAATATGCCTGGATAAGCTCCAAGATACATGTCTTATTGCAAATTCCGCTATCTGCCAAAGAGTGTTGCGTTTCTACAGTATAGTGCTTCTTATTACTATTCAATGTACTGGGTCTTTCGATGTGGATTCTTAAACATGAGCACTTGCCATAATTTGCATTATAACAATTGTTAGGAGCCTTAGCCAAATTTGTATTACAGGTAAAGCTCTCATGGGTGGAACTACAATCAATATGCATAAACAAATGTGAGTTTTAAAATGTGTACAATTATGAAGTATTGCTTTTAGACCCATAACAAGTGTTGGCAATTTTTTTTTTTTTTTTTTGGTAAATGGCCAGGTAATAAACATTCCAGGCTTTGCAGGACACAGATTCTCTGTCACAACTACGCACAACTCAGCTCCACCATGGTGGCATGAAAGCTGCCACCGAGAACACATAAATGTATGAATGTGGCCATATTCCAATAAAACTTTATTTACAAGAACAGGTATGAAGCCAGATTTGACCTGTGGGCCATTGTTTGCAGACCCTGCTCTAAGGCATAGGAAACAAAAAAAGTTGTTTACAACATGAAGACAAATAGATTGTCAGAGAAATTAAAAGAACAACCAGTTGTACTTTTTTGGTAGTACTTAAATCCAAGGAAGTAGTGGCTCAGAATTGCCCTTGGGAGTCAAAATGCCCATGTCTAAATCCTGGATCAACCACTTACTAGTGCAATGATCTCAGATAAGTTTCCTAATCTCGCTGAATCTAATTTTTCTCATCTACACCATGGAGCTTATAAAGTACCTAAAATATATAGTTGTTTTGAGAACTAAATACTTTAATTTTTATAAACCATTTAGAAAAGTACTCAGGAAATAGTATACTCTTCATTAGTATTTGTAAGAGTACTTCACACCTGGAAGTCAGCTAAGAGATTATATTAACAGTCCTCAAAATATATCACATATATGTTAATAAAAAGAATACTATCATTGTCAATATTTTTTCTCTATGAGGAAGAGAAGAGGATGACACAAAACATCACTATTAAACAAAATGCCACAGGTTAGAGAAGAAACACATTCCTCAGAATTTTTCTATAAACATTACATAAATCAAGGAGTTGGAAAAATCAGAATGCACATAGCTTTCTTCAGAGTAGGCTTCTTTTGCTTCTAGATATGAAAAGTGGTAGTCACTGGACGATGTTATTAGACATAGTACGTTCTTCTTGTTGAATAGAAAGTTTAGGGAGGTTAAATGAATGCAAAAAAAGATCTATTACATTTGAAAAGAGTATCTACAAAGTTTTTGCTAAATGCCCCAGAAACTTGGATTCATTCCTCATAAGTTGCTAACTCTTATAAACCTGGGATCATCTCATCTGATGCACTGCAATAAGCATCTCCTAACTTTGGTATCTGGTGCAGGGACTGTGGAGATGCTGCGGTCATAGCTTGTATCATCCTCTTCTGTTCCATTTTCACCAAGTTCATGCAAGTACAAACCTTTTTCCCATTGTCAGGGACTTAGAGTTATATATATTTGAATTCTCTTAATACAAAACTTACATGGATACAATAAATGACTGTCCCCATGTGGGATGCCATGTGGTATTATAAAGAGAAAAATATGAACACATACATATAGTGCCTTTCATAAGACACTGAAAACACTTATATCAAAATTTCAAAGTTCTGATGATCTTACCACATTTCCCATAAATTATATCAAACTGCTGCATTAATTCAGCTTTGGTTTTAAATGGAGAGTACTTATAAATTATAGATAATTCTGTTGAGAATTTCTGAGGATCATCTGTGACAGATTCTCTGGTTCTTGTTAACCACGAAGGCATTGGAACCACAACCTATTAAAAAAAAAAAAACAATTTACTATAAAACCCACAAATAGAAACCATCATCCTTTTGTCTGACTTTACTTTAGTCCACTCTTCAGCCAAATTACAAAACCAAACAACAAAGTAAAAAGTTTATTTCTCTGTGTGTTCCAGTTTTATAAGGAAGAGACGCACAAATATGTATATTCGGGATTTTATTCTAAAATGCTCCTCTGTGAAATGTGGGGACAGATGGACTTGACTTCTGCTTTCTTTTAGCTATGGGTAGAATGGCAGAGGGAACAAGAGTAGCAGCATATAGAAACTGAAAAGCAAATGACAGCATATCAAAGAAAACCAGTCCGAAGCCCATGCCAGAAAAGGAAACCAGCCTGATTTATCATTCAGAATCAGAAATGGGTAACATGAATTAACTCTAGACATGGACAAAACGGGAAGAGAGTCAGACATGCATTCAGACCCCCATCTGGCAATGCTCCCCTCCCCCCACACACACAGGGACTAGATGCTCATTCTCTGGAAAGACTGGGACAAAGTATTTCAGAATTAGATGACATGACAAGCGTAGCTGTCAGAGGACTTACTGAGATGAGAGGGATTAAATGAAAGTGTACATATTGGATACCGAGAACCCCAGATTTCTTCTTCCATTTGGTTCCCAGAAAACTGTCAGGTAGGCCTTCAGACCCAAGACTGCAGGAGTCTTCCCTGAGAAATCTGACCAGCCCAGAAGGAAAAACATAAAGAAACTGAGTAAACAGCCAGCCACATCTTATTATTGTGAAGCTCAGAGCTGCCAAGCCCCACCCACACTGTCAGAACTTTCAATGGGCATCTTATTGGATCAATCTTTAAAGTACAACAGGCTCTAGCCCAGCTGCTATGGCTCAGTGGATGAGCATCAACCCATGCACCAAGAGGTCACCAGTTCGATTCCCGGTCAGGGCACATGCCCGGGTTGTGGGCCAAATCCCCAGAGGGGGGCATGCAGGAGGTGGCCAATCAATGTTGTGTTTCATAGATGTTTCTATCTCTCCCTTCCTCTCTCTCTAAAATCAATAAAGAAAAAAAAAATTAAGTACAACAGGCTCTCAAATGCTGTTTCCTTCTAGGTTGTTTTGCTACCATGTTGATAAAAAAAAAAATTCTCAGGTGAGGCCACTCACTGTCTGTGTGGAGTTTGCACATTCTCCCCATGTCTCTGTGGGTTTTCTCCAGGTATTCTAGTTTTCTCCCACATCCCAAAGAAGTGCACCTGCGGTAGACTGGGGTGTCTGAATTGTCCTCGTCTGAGTGTGGGTGTCTGTGAGTGGCCCTGCAATGGAAGGGCATCCTCTCCGGGGTAGGCTCCCACAGCAAGCCCTGAGCTGCTGGGACAGGCCACCCATGACCCTGTACTGGAATAGATGGGTGGAAAAGAACTTCTTAAATGTATGGATAGCTCACATTTATTTCAATGTTTAATACTGGAAGCATTTTGGGTCTTTCTTTATAAGTTTGGTGAAGTTTTGCAACCAAAAATATGCTGTAGGAACTTAACTCTTGTTTATATCAATCAGCCAACGGTAAAACTGGTTTTGGTATGCACTGCTTCACTTAAAAATCACAATTTCCAAGAATCTATCCAGGAAGTTAAGACAGGACATACTGAATTCGGGATTAATAACCATCTAAGTAAAGTCTCTACTATGATAAATAGAGACCAAATAAACAAACATAAACAAAGCAACTCAGGGGAAACAAAAAACATTTGAACATAAAACGTTCAGAGGGGGAAAAAAACCAATCATTGTTAGTATCTTCAGAGCTCTACGAGGAAGTTCTGTGTCCATGAAACAACAACTAGATATCTATTGAAAAGGAACATTGAGAGAAAATAAAAGACTTCTTGGAAATTAAGAATATGATTACAGAAAAAAAAACAATTTCTATGAAATAAATGGAAGCTAAATGTTATAAAATCTCTTAGAAAACAGAACAAAAATATAAAGGACAAAATATAGGAGAAGAAAGATAAGAAAATTAAAGAACTGGTCCTAGACATCCAAAAGCTAAGACACAGAACCTACAAAAAGATAAGGATGAAAGAAAACCATCAAATGTTATAGGGAAATACCCCAGAATTGAAGGACATGAGTTTCCAGATTGAAAATGTCCAACAAGCACCCACCCAGCTCAGTGGATGCAAACAGACCCACCCAAAGGCAAAACACTGAAATCGGAATAGTGGGAACAAAGAAAATTCTACTGACCTTTTAAAAAGTGTGTGGTGGGGGTGGGGTGGGGGGGATGGGTTACATACAAGACTGAGGAATTCAAATGCTGCTTAACAATGCTAGAAATTAGAAGATAATGGAGCAACGCCTTCAAAGGTTTGGAGTAAAATTTATCCCAACCTAGCACTAACACCAAACCAGACTGTCATTACATTTTCAAGCAAGATAAAAACATTTTCACGCATTTGAGATCTCAAAATATTCACCGCTTATGCGCACTTGCTGAAATGCTATGAGGATACGTTACACCAAAAAGAGGAGCAAGCTATGAAAGAAGACCTGAGATTTAGGATCTGAGCTTTAACACAGAAGAGAGAGGAAGAGACCGGCCTGGACACCGGCAGGTCGCAGAATGGCAGCTGAACACGCCCATGGGAAGCAGGAGTATGAGATGTAGCACATAAACAGTGGTGAAGACAGAAAACCAAGCAGATATTCAGCGGTAGTGATGAGTACACAGAACACTAAGCAGCCAATTACTGATTCCTGAGAAAATAAAAAGTTGTGCAGGAAAGAGAAAAAAAGAACAGTTTATGACATAGTATGACTATGAATGGTGTTTATATAGTCTCATAATGTAAACACTGAATATTATCATGATCATAATTATAATCAAGCTACGGAATAGGAGGATGTGTATGTGATAGAAGTAGAAGAAAAAAAAAGAGATAAATCCTCCTCTCTTATAGTGGGAGGTTAATAGATAATGCCTAAATCAAATCAAAAGTAACAATATCATTGCACAAAGGCATGGTTTATCTTGTGATTTCTTATAATGCCAAATTGCATGCTTGAAACACTCATAACAGTTTTGCAATTTAGTTAAGTACCTGTACAGTTTTGCTGCAAGGTTCATTTTTGTGAATTCATTGATTAAAAATCTCTCCTAGAGAAATCTGGGAGATTTAGGTACATAGACAATGTAAATAAGGTTCTGAAAACTGCCTAGAAGTTTAATACCCAAGAGAGGGTCAACAGGACAGGCCTCCAATGACCCCGGTCACCCTTTCTTCATTTCCCAAACACATTCCTAAATTTCTAAATCATAATCAGAAAGAACTCATTATAGATTTTTACTCCTGAGATAGGAAGTGAAAACAACACTGATACCAATGGAACAGAAGAAAAATCTCAACTCTTACCTCACTCAGACCTTCTCCTTCACAGAATGTCTGAGAGAAAAACACACAGGTCATTGTTTCTTCCTTCTTTGTAAAAAGAATCAAGTCTTTTCCAATCCTCATGGATCCACTATATTAAAAATCAAGAACATAACAGTTTATATCTCAAGCACTAAAAAGAAAAAACAGGCATGATACTGTGTGCTATAACAGGGTTTCTCTTCACAGAAATGACTCCACTGTTCTGCTGACCCATCACCAAGAGGGTACAATATGATTTTTTCCCCCAAAGTACAGCAGATAGATTTGAACTAATCCAGCCCCCCGCTCTTGCTTAAGACATGACTTCTGGAGATACGGTGCTGTCTGGGCTGAAGAGGAGAAAAAGCATCTGTCCCTGGCAGGTGCCACACTGGTGATGGTGGTCCGTGTCCTTGTCTTTCATTGAGACTTCTACTAAAATAGGCCATGGAAAAAGGTGAAGGGATTAAGAAGAATAAATTTGTTGTTAAAGAATACTCACGGGGATGTAAAATACAGCACAGCAAATATAGTCAATAATAGTCTAATAACTAGGCGTGGTGCTGGATGGGGAGGGATTTATAGGGGTGATCACTCATTAAGTTATATAATGTCTGGTCACTGAGGTGTACACCTGAAACTAATATAATGATGTGTGTCAACTGTAACTGAAAAATAAAAATGATTGAAAAGTAAAATAAGTCATGGACACAAATAACACCTATGTTAAACTATGCTTTGAGAAACAATAAACTACAGAGATGAAATTAAGCTCTAGAGTACAGCAATTCCTGAAAGAAGATTCATCATCGATTTGAAAATTAAAATTTAAAATCTTATAAAGATCCAAGACAGTATGGAGATTCCAAACCAAGGTAAGACTCCCAAGTTGATATTCTTTTTAAAGTTTAATAAACTTAGACCATTCTGTATAATATTGCCTTGAACTAAATATTATTCCGATATCAATAATATATGCCTTAAAGAAAAAAAAATGCTCACCTTTTAAGACCATTGCCATATTGTCCAATAAACTTCAAGGTTGATAACCGTTTCTTAGATGCTCCAAAGTAAATGATATCTGAGGCTTCCTCTGTAATCCACAAAAGCGTTTAAGGTGGTTAGGATTTATGAGTAGTTCACAGGGGCCAGACGTCCAGTCATTGGGACGTCACACGTATCTCAGGACATTAGGACAAATCCGTACCTCGTGGGTCAGCTCAGAAACAAGGCTCCTTGTCAGGCTCCATAATCTCTGACCAGGATCTTAACAGTCCTATTTTGAAGGAGGTCAGACAGACCTAGCCATGCGATTTGGGGTAAATAAGAGTTTAAAACTCTGAAGCTTAATTCCCTCATCTCTAAAAGAGAACTAATAATACTTGTAACACAGTTGTTGATAAAGATTTAAAAAATGAGTTAAATAAGATGGTGTATTTTTCAAACCCTAGACACAACACACAGAACTTGATAAATGCTAATACATTTTAAGTATTATGATTACTCGTAGCACTAGTAATTTTCTATAAATTTGGCCCTTATTCATTCCCATGTGGGACTAAATGAACAGAATGACTTCTGGTCTGATACCACCTGGGGAGAAAGAGCTACTTACTTCAGACTTTTACAGTGAGTCTCCTGTTCTCTTCAGGGCATTTTGGAATTCTAGAGAAAAATCCTCTGGACTTCAGAAAATACATACTTTCAGAAACAGAAATCTCCCAGGGAAACAAATAGAAATGGGCCTCCCAATTGGCCTACTTGACTACATGCTCTAGAATTGTTCTGAGGACCCTGTGTGAGTCCGGGAGCACCTGTTACGGGGTGTGTGAAAGCTACCAGACACTCTGCTTGTCAGAAGCTAACCTGACATTCAATCACATGTTCTCACACAGGGTTGGATATTAGGTGAGGGTATCCATATTGACAATATTAGCTACAATTTATTGATTGTTCAGTATGTGCTCCGCTCTATATTGCATACTTTACATGAACCATTTAATATTTACGACAAACCTAAAAGGAAGATATTATTATTTGCATGTTATAGTTGAGGAAATTTAAATTTAAGGAGTTTATGTAAACTTCCCAAAGTCACACAGCTGATCAATGCTATAGCCAGGATTACAACCCAGATCTGTCAAAGACCAGATCCCATGGTCTTCATTACACACCACACAGACTCCCATATACCGTGGCCAGAGTTCTGGACAGAGGGTGAGAACTCTGAGTAAGACAGACATGACCCTTGTCTTCAACAACTTTATGTCATGGAGGAGAACAGATGGAAAAAAATAGGCAAATAAAAAGATCATTTCTGAGAGTGTTAAGTGAAGGTAACAAAAGCAGGGTGGGTATGTGACGGAGAGTTGACAGGAGTGTGTCCTACAGACAGAATGGTCAGGGAAGGCCTTTTACAAGGTGACAACTGAGATGAGATTCAAATGATGAAGGGCCAGCCAGTGTGGCTGGACTGCTACAAGCAAGCGGGTGAGTGGGAGGAGAAAAGGTCAGGGGGCAAGTAACACAAGAAACTGGAAGTATCACTGCAGAGTATGAATTTTATTCAAAAGTAATGAAAAAAACAGTAAGAGTTCTAATCAGCAGAGTCATATGATATGGTTCACATTAAAAGAAAAAAAATCCACTCAGGGTTTCTGTAGGGAACGCATGTCACGGACAAGACGAGGTGAATGGGTTTGGAAACCACCGCAGTCCTTTCCTGTGGGTCCAGCCGGATCTGGTCAGTTTGGACAACAGGCAGAGTCTACTCTCAGTCATAGATAAACTCCTCCTTCCAGCTTATTACTCAATTTCTAATTCATGTCAATAAAGAATTGCTCTCTCAACACTAGTGGGCTTTTTAAAAATACTCTATATGTCAACTTCTGTTGTGTGTTTATATGTGTTTCTTCTGAAGATCTGAATATTTGTCCCTTTCCTGTGTTTTGTTCATGAAGCCCTATAAAATGAACTGCTTCTTCCTTTTTTTTTTTTCAGGAATTGCCTTAGAATGTATCACATATTCTGTTATTTATCTCTTAAGAATTCAGGAAAATGAATTTAACATTCAGCCTAGGAGTGAAAAATGAAACAGCTTTTTCAACATGGCTTTCTTACAAACTCTGCTCTCTTATTTAGTGTAGTTAAACACTAAAGAACCAACAATACTTTTTAATCAAACCTGGAAATACCAAAATTATCCAAACACAGTCAGAACAAGAACTGAGTTGGATATTAGAGCATTTCTAAATTTGTTCATATATTATTCTTTGGACTATTTAGACCAAGGGGGAACTTCCAAGACTCAGAAAAAGATAACTGCTTTTCTTCGTATTCTCAGTGCCTATCAGCACAAAGGAGCAGTCTTGCGTGTGGTGTGGAACTGACCAGAGCAGTCCCGTCTTGAACTTCCTTACAAGTTTTAACCCTAGTGGTCAAGAACCTTGGCTTGTGGCACATTCACAAATGTTATGAGAATTCAGGGTTAAGCCCGAACAACACAAAGCCCTCATCAGAGGAAATAAATATCATTTCAACTCCACAGCAAATAGGCATTGTGCACCTACTATGTGCTAGCTTTTTGCCAGCCTGAAGGATACAATTATAAAGCGTGCATGTATTGTGGAGGTGTTCATTATGCTGGGTACCTTCAAATGAAGCAACTGAACCTTTGAACGTGCCAAGAAAAATCACAAACTGCTAAAAACAAGGAGAGATGACCTCTATCTACCTCAAGGTTAAGCAGGAAATTTTAAGTAGATTAAAGGCATTGGAAACTGCCTCAGAGTTCTCACAATCAATACCTGAAAGATGGTCTAAGAACAATCTCAGAGTCCAACCAGTAACTCTTTATATTCCATTCATAGGTACCTTCTGCCTTTCATGTTTCTGGCGATACGCATTTACGTTAACTTTTTGTCTTGATTTTACGTGGTTGCAATGAATTTATTCTGTCAGCTGAAATATTTAAACCTAAAAAAAGTTCAACAAATTGGTAAGGCTGAGGTTTGTTTTCCCTAATAGCTCCATACCTGTGTTTGCACCGACAGCTCAATTTACTTTTATTTATTTTATGAGTTTTCCTCCTGTTTCCTCTAACAGACATTTAGGTATCTAGACAATTACTTACCAGGACTCATACCACATCCATCATCCAGGAAGCACAACATGAATCCACCCTGCAGTTTTTCATTATCCACTGTAAGAGAAAGCAGTTATTGCTAATAAATATTGGGCGTAATTTGTTCGTCACAAAGTCATGCTGCTCACGTAATTATTCGTCCTCTTCAAATGCAGCCACTGAGTGACAGAGTTATGGCACAAGGAGAGAGCTCAGAAAGGCATTTGGCTACAATTTCATAAGAAATTGCAGGGGGAAAACAAGCAACAAAAAGGCTTTGAATTAACATAAAGCATCTACACATTAATGAATTAATGACGTGCCCAGCCCTAAACTGGCCCTTTAGATTCCATGAATTTCCTCCCTGGGGAAGGGGAGAAAGGTAGATGGCGATGTGACCCCAGGATCCCTCTATCTAAACTCCAAACTGATCAACCTTTACTCCCTTCCACCAAAGGTCTAATTCTAAAGTCAGGCCAGGCCATTCTTATTAAATTCATTAAGCTCTCTTCCAGGTAGTTAAGTCCCATAAGAGCCATGTGAACATGCTTCTTTTATTATTGTTGTTGCAGGGTTTTTTTAGTTTATAGATTTTTGCTTATTTCAGTACCACAGTAGTAATGGGGTCAAAATCACATACACAAAAATGACCAGTCTTAGAAATTTTCAGAGCTCTGACAGTTAGTAAAACGGACTATTTCAGTAGTGTCTTTAATAAAAGATTTATCCAATTTGAGTATTTTACTATTTATACCAAACACTAGAAATGTCTACCAATTCTAAAGAAACCTTTCTCCTTTCCTAGGAACTGGTACAGATGGGAAAAGCAAAGAAAGATGCTTAAGAGCAAGTACTGAATACAATTGGAGCCAAGAGATAACTTGAGACAACCTTTGTTGTGTGTGCATTTCCATAACAAAACTGAAAATTCTTTACAAATTTTCATTCTTAACCTTGCGCTCACGGAGATCATTTGAAAGTATGCCGTTCCAACATAATTTCTCAGAGAGCTACCACTCGCTGTGGTAGTCTTATCCTTTGAAAGTTGGACACAGTATTTCATTCAAATTTCCAAGTATATATGTACATTTTTATTTTTTCTTTAGAGATTAATAGCTTTAAATTTGTCAGTCTCTGTTAGTTTTGGGTTTGTTTGTTTGTTTGTTTTTTAATCCTCATCTAAGAATATTTTTCCATTGATTTTTTAAATTAAATTTAATTTTTTTAGATAGAGCGGGAAGGTGAGAGGGAGGGAGGAACATCAGTGTGAGAGACACACATCGAGTGGTCGTCTCCTGCATGATCCAGACCGGAACCAGAGATCAAACCTGCAACTCAGCCCTGGCCGGTTTGGCTCAGCGGTTAGAGCGTTGACCTGAGGTCCTGAGAGACCCGGGTTCGGTTCCCGCTAAGGGCGCGTGCCTCGGTTGCAGTTTGTCCCCGGCCCTGGTCGGTCGTGTGGGTGGCGGCCACTCGATGTGTTCCTTTCACGTCGATGTTTCTCTCTCTCTCTCTGTTCCTCTCTCTCTCCCACTCTACCTGAACAAAAAAATGGGAAAATGTCCTCGGGTGAGGATAAAAAACAAAACAAAACAAAAAAAACCCTGCAACTCAGGTATGATGTGCCCTTGACCGGAATCAAACCCACAACTCTCCAGTCCGAGGGCCAGTGTTCTAACCACTGAGCCAAACTGGCCAGGGCCAAACTGGCCAGGGCAAGGGATGGTTAATTTATATGTCAACCTGGCTCAGTGATGGGGCCCAGTCATTTGGTCAAACATTAGACTAGAGGTTGCTATGAGATTATTTGTGGATATAATTAACTTTTACCATCAGCTGACTTTAAGTAAAGCAGATCACCCTCCATATTGTAGCTGGTCCTCATGCAATCATTTGAAGATCTTCAAAGCAAAGACTCAAGTGTTGAAATGAAGAAGCAATTTTCTGCCTCAAGACTACAAGATAGAAACCTTTACGTGAGTTTCCAGGTGCTGGCCTGCCCCAAAGATTTTGAACCCCGGACGGCAGCATCTGGATAACCAGTCTGCCAGCTGCCCTCCAAATCTCAGACTGCCGGCCCCCACAATTGTGTAAGCTAAATATATATATATATATATATATATATACACACACACTGTGTACTTTTAAGGAAATTGCCTCCTAGTGTAGTGGTCCATATGGTATGGTCCAAATATATATATCTCTATATAGTGAGAGAGAGAGATGGGGAGAAGGGGAGAGAGAGGAGGAAAGAGAGGTATTATCTCTCTCTCTCCCATCTCCTACTGGTTGTTTCTCTGAAGACCTCTGACTAATACACTCACAGCACAGCTCAGCCCTGCTCACCCCTCCCCCCCCACTGCAATCTTCTACTTCCCCACAAATAGTCCCTCGAACTAAATCACAACTCACACACTCTTGCAGCTCCATCAGTGCTCTAGGTTCTCTCCAGATTCAGGCCACCGCACGTACTCTTCTGCCCTTCCCATCCTTGATTCGCCAGTTCAGGGCCTAGTTAGCTCTTCAGCAGTTCATTTAAGATTTCCTGCAAGAAGCTCTCCTAATTCTTCCATGTCACCAGTGGCCACAATGAATGTATTCTTTATAAATTCTCTTTCCCACCTTCCACCTATATTTAAATACCTATTCCCATATTTACTTCTCTTTCAAACTAGTGGTTCTTACACTTTTTGGATCACAGTTGCCTCAGAGATATAATGAAAGCTATGACCATCTACCCATAAAAGTGCAGCTATGTACCCTATTTCCATGCTCCCCTACACCAGGATGCCAGTTCCTTAAAAGTACACAGTGTGTACTCAGCACTTGGCCCAGTGCCTGCTCTTGGTAAGCACTGAAAAAAAATGTATTGAATGCACACCCATGCTTACTAGAACTAATACACAGGCAGAGATAAAATACCCATGACTATACATATATTTAGTTTGAATTTTAAGCCCTCAAGTTACCTGAAAAAACCCTAAGACTGGAGAGTAATTCAGAGGACTCAGTAAATAACTTGAAAATGAGCCCAATAGCTTAGGTTAACTATGCATCCCCATAGCTCTTCTATCTATCGGTGCATAACTACTGGCCTTGGTTTTGTAAAAATGAACTTGCTAGGTTTATAACCACAGTATAGTTCACTGCAATAAAAAGAAAAGAAAACAAAACAAAACACCTTTAGCCCTGGTCGGTTTGGCTCACCAGTTAGAGCATCGGCCAACGGACCAAAGAGTCCCGGGTTCAATTGTAGCCAAGGGCACATACCGCAGTTGCGGTTCATCCCCGGCCCTGGTTGGGGCAGTGTGGGTGGCAACCAATCGATGTGTGTGTGTCTCTCTCTCCCCCTCTCACTCTGTCTGAAGAGAAATGTAAAAATATCCTCGGTTAAGGATTAAAAAACAACAACAAAAAACTTTTAACATGAATATGTAGTTTAAAACCAAAAACCACAAGTTCAGTGCCTCACAAAACACATACAACCTCAAGAAAGCAGTGCCGCAATACGCTCAATTAATATTTGACAAAGGTGGCAAGAGCATACAGTGGAGTAAAGACAGCCTCTTTAATAAATGGTGTTGGGAAAATTGGACAGCTACATGCAAAAAAATGAAACTCGACCATCAACTTACACCATACACAAAAATAAACTCAAAATGGATAAAAGACTTAAATGTGACCCGTGAATCCATAAAAATTCTAGAAGAAAATGTAGGCAACAAAATTTCGGACATCATACGGAGCAGAATTTTCACTGATACATCACCTAAGGCAACAGAAATAAAGGAGAAAATGAACACATGGGACTACATCAAACTAAAAAGCTTCTGCACAGCAAAAGAAACGATCATCAAAATGGAAAGGCAACCCACTGTATGGGAGAACATCATTGCCAATGATGTATCAGATAAGGGGTTAATTTCCAATATATACAGAGAGCTCACACAACTCCACAAAAGGAAGACAAAGAACCCAATTAAAAAATGGGCAGAGGAGCTGAATAGACACCTCTCCAAACAGGACATACAAATGGCCAAGAGACATATGAAGAAATGCTCAACATCACTAATCATCCGAGAGATGCAAATTAAAACAACAATGAGGTATCACCTCACACCTGTCAGAATGGCCGCCATCAACAAATCATCAAACAACAAGTGTTGGCGAGGGTGTGGAGAAAAGGGAACTCTAATACACTGCTGGTGGGAATGCAGACTGGTGCAGCCGCTATGGAAAACAATATGGTGCTACCTCAAAAAATTAAAAATTGAACTTCCATTTGACCCAGTGATCCCACTGCTGGGAATATACCCTAAGAAGCCTGAAACACCAATCAGGAAGAATATATGTACCCCCATGTTCATAGCAGCACTATTTACAATAGCTAAGATCTGGAAACAGCCCAAGTGTCCACCAGTAGACGAATGGATCAAAAAGCTGTGGTACATATACACAATGGAGTACTATGCAGCGGTAAGAAAGAAAGATCTCTTATCCTTTGAGACGACATGGAGGGACCTGGAAAGTATTATCCTAAGTGAAAGAAGCCAAGCAGAAAAAGACAAATACCACATGATCTCACTTATATACGGAATATAATGAACATAACAGTCTGAGGAATACAGTAGACTCAGACACATGGAAGTAGGGCACAGACTGACATCCCTCAGAAGAGGGGATGGGGGGTGGGGGGGTGGGAAGAGATAAACCACAGAACTTATATGCATGTATGCATGACCAATGGACATGGACAACTAAGCTGGGGACAGGGTGGAGGGGGTGGGGTGGGGGGTGCCAATGGGGTAAAAAGGTAAAATATCTGTAACAAAAAAATAAATAAAAATTCATAAAAAAAAAAAAAAAAAAAAAAAAAAAAAAGAAAGCAGTGCCGCTTCGAACACAAATCGTAAAGACTCTCTTGCATTTGTTATGACCATGACAAGTGAGGCAGATTCTGTCATGCCCTTCTTGGAGTCCTCCCACAAACACGAAAAACATGCTGTGTGAATTCTGACATTTGTTGTACTTTGTGGTTCCAGAGAACTCTTCTCAAGCCTTCATCAGTAACACGTGTG